CCAATAGTGAACATTCACAGAAGGTTAATGGCATTTGATTACTACCAAAAATTTCTAGCATAGACAACAATATTGAAAACTGGCATCTTCCTAAAATCGTCACCAGAAATCTCTCCGTCCTTCTGGTTAACCCACTCTCGCATAAACTGCAAAACTCATCATGGAATGAATTGGATTGACGATGAGAGTTTTAAATGAAATTTTTTGAAGGTGGCAAATGTGTGGAACGGATGAATGTTGATGGATATGAGTGTATATGCACAATGGGATTCTTCGGGAAGAACTGTGAGCTGAGCGCACGAGAATGTCCAGTGGTTTGTTTTCGAAATATTTTCGATGTGAAATTTTTCAACTGAAAAGCGCTAAGACAATTCTTGTAGCAAATGAAACGAACCGTTTCACACTTCACAAAAGAACTCGAACACTAAAAGCTTCATCGAAGACTAGTCTCCGTAGTGTGTTTCACACTTGCAATCAGATTATAAAAAAGCAGTAGCTTGCTTGCACATATCTCGCCAATCACTTCATGCGACTGGATCGATGCAAACGCTCTCATTTGAGTGATTCTTGCAGCAGAATCCGTGTCTGAACGGAGGTCGTTGTATTGACGAGGTGAACAACTACAAGTGTCACTGTCCAGAAGGATTCAGCGGTACGTTGTGTCAAGAACGGATGAACGCATGCCTGACGAAACCTTGCCAGAACGGTGGCCGTTGTATTGATCTTCAAGGCGGTGGCTATCTTTGCAAATGTCCTCATCATTATCAAGGCAAAAACTGTGATATTGAAATCGATGAGTGCGAACCGAATCCATGCAGGTGAGCATTGCAGTGTTACGTTCTTTGCTGCTATTTCTCAAAATTTTCAGCGCTGAATTGAATTCTGCTCATGTTTTAACTAAATATTTATGCGATCGAGTAGAATTTGACGGTTGCTTTAAAAAATTACATGTTTCTATCGACTCATTGCAACGATGAGATGAGCTGATTGGTTTGTTCGATGAATTGACCTGATATTGAACTTTAAGAAATGGAGGTACTTGCATAAATATTTTTGGTGGTTACCATTGCGAATGCCCGAGCTGTTTATATGGTCAACATTGTGAGCTGGTTGAACCGAGGTGTACTGCCGCTGCAGTTCCGTTCGGTCCAGAATTGAGGAAAAATGATACTGCACGATTACCGACAAAACATTCAACCGAAACTGATTATCAGGTATAGATAAAGTTTATTGATGGAAGAGTGGACATAAAGAAGAAAGCGATGTGATGAATCATTGTGAAAAAGTAATAAACTTGAAAGAATCATTTGAATGATATCAACTTGTTTTAGAGTAACGACCATGGAGCAGCACTGCATTTACG